CAAGAAGCTAGAAACACCTATTAGAAAGGATATGTGCACCCCTATGTTCATAGCAGCGCAATTAACCCTAGCTAAGCTTTAGAAACAACACACGTGCCCATCAGCAGATGAGTGGATTAGAAAACAATGGTACATCTACACAATGGAATACTATGCTGTTGTAAAAAAGAAATAACTCTTACCATTTGCTATAGTGTGGGTGGACCTGTAGAGCATTATGCTAAGTAAAATAAGCCAGTCAGAGACAGATAAATATCACATGATCTCACTCATTTGTGGAATATATTGAACAATATAAAGTGATGAACAAAAATAGAGAATCAAAGAAGTATCGTACAGACTGTCAAACTACTGTAGGAAGGCCAGAGAGGGTTGGGGTTGGAGGTAAAAGATCAACTGAAGGACTTGTATGCATGTACATAAGCATAACCAATGGCCGCAAGGGGTGAGAGCATGTGCCGAGGGGAGAGAGTAGAGGAGGCTGGGGAAGGTCAATGGGAAAAAAAGGAGGCATATGTACTACTACCCTGTTACCCTGAAAATAAGACAGTGTCTTATATTAATTTTTGCTCCCAAAGATGCGCTAGGTCTTATTTTCAGGGGATGTCTTATTTTTCCATGAAGAAGAATACAGTACACATTTATTGTTAAATGAAAATAAAGGAAATTTATTACCTGTATATGGTACGGTAGTATAATAGTTGTCAACACAAACCAGACAAACTGTGAATCCTACAGTATCAAGAATTTACTCATTTATTCAATGACAATCATGTCATCATCTTCTGGAACATCATCATAACAATCCAATTCCTAAATTTCCTGGTGAATTTCTTGTGACTCCATTTCTTTCAGAATCAGTGGACCAAATCTCTCATGTTTAGCAATAGCACTGTCTTTAAATGAGTACTTCTTGTCAAGGTAGCCTGCTCACAGTGCATTTGCAATGCAACTGTCAGTGATTTTCTCCTATGAATTCTTCACCCAAGTCACAACTTCTTGCAGTTCAGGTTTCACAAAGTTTCCACGCTGATTTCTCTCCATTCTATTTTCAATGTAGTCATTAATTTCCATGCACAAATTGTCTTTGAATGGCTTGTTTATTGCAATATCAAGAGTCTGGAGATAGGCCGTCATTCCTGTGGGAATCATTATCTGATCTATTTTTCTTTTGTGAAGAAATGTCTTCATGTCTCTAGCGTGGTGAGTGCTGGCTGCATCCCAGACTAGCAGACCTCTTTGTCTCCCTCGCATAACTAGCGGCAGCATTAAATTGACCCACTTCTTTATAACTGCTTGTGTGGCCCAGGCTTTTTCAGTTTCAAGAATAAAAAACGCCCAAAACACGTTCAATCTTTTCCTTCTTGCCCTTAGAAATGATTAAAGGTGGTATTTTAGTGCCATCCAGACGAATTGCCAAGATACAGGAAACGTGCAATTTTGAAAGCAGTGGAGGGAATGTACACTAAGGAGGCACCCTGCTGTTCAATTGTTGTTTGAGATGATTGGCTCATAAACACTGCAGTTTCATCCATAGCAATCATGTTGGAAAGATTGTATTTAGAGAAGTCAGCATCATCAATAAAGGACTTGAATGCAAGTGCTCACTTAATAACTTGAGTATCTTCCAACCTAAACAATGCTGTACTGGTAGATCTTCTTAAAGACAGTTCACTTCACTGAAGGAAATTATCCAGCCAGTGTTTTGATGCTTTGAAGTCTTCGGGGGCTATGTCAAACTGTGGTGCCATTGCAAGGGCAAATTCTTAAATCTGAGCCCTATTCACAACCAAAGCCTTTGCTCTCCTGTCAACAACCCATTCACAGATCAGGTCTTCCAGCTGGGAAAATAATGGCTGCCGACCTGATCCACACTTGCACTTTTTAGCATTTTCCTTGTCCACTTGTTCAATGAGGTTACCATACTCTGCTTGCCATTTTCGGACCAATCAGATACTCAACATCTTCTCTTTGCAAAAAGCAGTAAGATTTTGGCCCCAAGAGTCTTCCACGACTCCTTTCTTCTTCTTTTTTTTCTTTTTTTTTTTTTTTTTTAATATATTTTATTGATTTTTTTACAGAGAGGAAGGGAGAGAGATAGAGAGCTAGAAACGTCGATGAGAGAGAAACATCGACCAGCTGCCTCCTGCACGCCCCCTACTGGGGATATGCCCGCAACCAATGTACATGCCCCCGACTGGAATCGAACTCTGGACCTTTCAGTCCACAGACCAACACTCCACCACTGAGCCAAACCAGCTTCGGCCCACGATTCCTTTCTTAAGGTCCACAGAGTAGCTTTTTCTTCTTGTGCTCATTTCTAGGGATAAAAAAAAAAGGAATTGGGGTATCAAGGTGGGGGGAGGGGAGTCACTTAAAATGACACAGGGGGATCAGAGGGGGGAATCAAAATGGCACAGGAGATTTAGAGGGGGGATTACCATTTTAGTAACCCCTTTTGATCCTCCTGTGTCATTTTGATTGCCCCCTCTGATCCTCCTGTGTCATTTTAAGTGACACCCCTCCCCCCACCCCTTTGCCACTGAACACCTTTACCAGACATCCCCCTACCCCTTTATCAGACATTTACCCCCTGGGGCCTGCCTGGGGACTGTCACTGGGCTTGCTGGGGCCTGGATCTGGCTGGAGCAGGGTCTGCCACTGACTGAGAACCTTCAGTCATCATGGGGGCAGCTGGGAGCATCAGGTAGTGTCACCAGAGACAGACCAGCACTCACCACCTTCGCCGTGTCCCATCTGCTCTAATCCTCTTGTTCTTCTACACGCATCAGCCAAAGTCTCCTCCTCTCTCCTGCCCTGCGCTTACCACTCACTCTGACCTCCGCTCCACCTCCACACAGCAGTGATGTCAGGACTCCACGTACTGTCACTGGTTGCTATTGTAGATGCCAGTGGGGTGGCCCTAGAGACCAGTTTACGGTAAATTTATTTTCATTCTGAGACAGAGCCGGGGGGGGGGGGGGGGGGGCTTATTTGGGGAGGGGGAATGCCTTTTATTTCACTCAGAAGGAAACCTGTAAGTAGGTCTTATTTTTGGAGGATGTTTTATTTTCAGGGAAACACGGTATTTTTTTTCTCCCTATTAGTTATAAAATTTAATTGTAAGGATCAAGCAGTGGTTATTGGTCAAACCAAACCACATTAATAGTTTTGATGTGTACAGGTGCCAGCTTTTAAATAAAGGTGACAAATACCAACCAGATTCTTATTATAACACTGTTCAGGATCTAAACAAGTGTGATTCTGAACATAGTTCAATACACAAGGCTAAAAGAATGATAGTGCAATCATCAATAAAAAAAACAAAGGCATAATTTTCCAAATCAATTTTAGTTAAACAGAATTCTAGCTTTTCAAAAGTCTAAATCTACATAAAACTCAAAGTAATCTAATTATTTTTCTACCTGAGATCAAAACAAGTTTATATTTTCCTATCTAAACATAATTCTTGGCATTGAGGTAAATCTGAAATCATGTGAAATATTTTGTCAAACATTCCCCCAAAATTTTAAGCCCTGCTTTAGACAGATATTCTCATGTTACAATACATACTTAAATATTTTTCTTCAAGGACTAATGACAAACTTATGAGGTTAATAGGCTTGAATTAGAACCATGATACTAATAATATGAAAATAAAAAGCCATTCATTTGTATAAAGTGTTCCTGTATGATGCAATATGAAATGTGATCACAGACTCTATGTACATATATGAATCATCAAGACTTCAGGAATTAAACTCACTTTAAGAATACTCCTATTCTTTTTTGAAGCAGATGTTTCACACTTGTGATATATAACAAAAATATTGTATATAAAAGCTCCAAAACCAAGTAATAGCCTAAACTGGCAATAACTGCAACTTAAAATCTAAATCCAACTATTACTGTGGCTATGCAACTTATTGCTTTGTGGCCTGAAGGTTTTACTGAGATAACAGCCTCTTATCTTTTCTCCTCCTTGCACTGCCCTACCCCCGCCCCCAACTTCCTATTTCATGGCTGTCTTTGGCAATGCTTCCAAATCATGAAAGCAGAAGAACCTACTTCAGTTAATGAGGAGGGTGAAAAACAACACTATATACGATGTATAAAAACCAAGCTAAGAGTATAAACTGAGAAAATATTGGAAGGCTAAGCAGCAGTCTACCCTCAAGGAAAAAAAGAGAAAATAAAAAACAGGGCTGTTACCCCTGAAATATGGTAGCACTCATACTTGGGTAAGAACTGCTATTTGAATTTTAACCTTGCTATCTGACTTCGACCTTCGATTGCTTGCTTGAACAATAGGGTAGTTGCAGGAGATTGACTCCCACTGACTCAGTAGCTTCAGGGGTAGAAACTGTAGATAACCTTTAGTTCTGCTTTTGTATTATGGGCAAGATGGGGCCACATTCCAATGTCAAGCAGAGTGTGACTGGGAACCAACCCTGCAGGCCGTCCCCAGTCTTTAGAATTTAGTCCTGAGGGGCCAATCAGGGTTAGCCGAGGCAGTGACATCACCGACCTGAATAAAACTCCTGGACTGGGTGAATTTCGCTCTCTTCCGCCATGCTGCCGGCGTGAGTGGGACAGGGCCCATGCTAGCATGGAGATGGCTCTTTTGTTTATTGCATCGGACTCGGCTCCCTGGTGGTCCTTGGGGATCATGACTGGAATCCCCAGCCAGGACCATGAGGGACCCCCATTCCGAAGAGCCTGACTGGCCCCTCAGGACTAAATTCTAAAGACTGGGGACGGCCTGCAGGGTTGGTTCCCAGTCACACTCTGCTTGACATTGGAATGTGTGTGTTTGTCTGTGTTTTTGTGTGAGCGCTCTGGAGGGACTGCCCCTCCATCGGGGCTCTTACCTGGGTGTTTACCGGCTGCTGCGTCAGCCATGGTTTGAGTCCAGATTCGAATCTGTAATAAATTCTAGCATGCTTAATCAAATTGGCTCCGGTGGTCCATCTCTTGGGGACTCGCTTCGTAACAACCCCTTGCCCCTCTTCCACTTTATCTCCTGATTAGAAGAGTGTGGAACCAAAATTTCAAACTCTGAAAAGGCAATGACTGCAGGAAGAGCTAGATAAGTGAGTAAATGGTAAAGAAGCACAGCAGTGCTTTAGCTGTCAATGAGTTTCTTTGCTCTGGCATTGGCACTTTCAATACGATCCTTGTTGGTGTCAGCCTTTTCTGTGATCCGGTCTATTTGTCGATTCTGAGCCTCAATCTCATTGCCCATGTCCAGGGCTATGTGTTTTAGATTTCCTAGGATATTGCCCACTTGACTCAGGTTCTCTTCCATTTCATCTTCTCTGGCATCATTTGCTATACGTTTAATGTATCCATCATTGGCTGCTCCTGTGGCTGCTTGCTGAGGCTGACCATTTGTTACTCGGCCTGGCTGCTTAGATACTACTTTGTTAGGAGAGTTGTCTCCGCCATCTCCCCATGTTGTCTTATAGGCCTTACCAGACTCAAAGTTCTTTGTCCTATTATCATACATGGGCAGACACAAAGACCACAGCACTTGTTGAGTTTTGTTAAAGTCTTCTCTGCTTCTTTAATGTCTTTATTTATTTGGTCCATGTCTTCTATGCGGTTTAGTTGTTCCCCTTGTTCATCCAGCATAGTGACAGTCTTAATTCCTGCATCCTGAGACTCAATGGCTAAACCCAGGATTCTCCTTGTACTTTCCAAAGACTCATCAGTAACCTGGTGAACCCTCAACTGAATTTCTTCTGGTGACAGATTATCCATGATGAATTAAAACTCCTGATAGCACAGACAATGAAATGTAGATATTCAAGCAGTTCCGGTCTCTCCTCTCCGGGCCGCGGTCGCTCGGACACCCAAGACCCGATCGAAACACAGTATTTTTAATACTTTAAACAATAAAATAAAATAATTTTTTTAATTTTTTAAAATTAAATTATTATCTTTGTACATATACCATTCCCCTTCCCCTTCCATACATGCCCTCCCTCCCCAGAGTTTTGTGTCCATTGGTTGTACTTATATGCATGTATACAAGTCCTTCGGTTGATCTCTTATCTCCTCCAGATCTCCCTAACCTCCCCACTGTAATTTGACAGTCTGCTTGTTGCTTTACTGTCTCTATATCTATCTTTTGCTTCTTCAGTTTATAACGTTCTTTATCATCCATAAATAAGTGAGGTCATGAGGTGTGTCTCTTTCATTGACTGGCTTATTTCACTCAGCATGATGTACTCCAATTCCATCCAGGTTGCTGCAAATGATGAGAATTTCTTCTTTTTTATGGCAGCATAATATTCCATTGTGTAGATGTACCATGGTTTTTGGATCCAGTCATCTGCTGACGGGCACCTAGGCTGTTTCCAAATTCTAGCTATTGTAAATTGTGCTGCTCTGAACATAGGGGTGCATATATCCTTTCTGATTGGTGTTTCTAGCTTCTTGGGATATATTCCTAGGAGTGGGATTACTGGGTCAAATGGAAGTTCCATTTTCAGTTTTTTGAGGAAACTCCACACTGTTCTCCACAGTGGTTGCACCAGTCTGCATTCCCACCAGCAGTGCACGAGGGTTCCTTTTTCTCCACAACCTCGCCAACACGTGTCGTTTGTTGATTTGTTGATGTTGGCCATTCTGACAGGTGTGAGATGGTACCGCATTGTTGTTTTGATTTGAATCTCAAAATAAAAATTTTTAAAGATGAAAGATGCCCCAAAGAAATTGAGGCTGGGAAAAGATTTTATACTAAAGGAACTCATAGAGACACTGCATGATACTGAAAACACAAAGGATAAAAATGTGCAAGGTGATTCAGACTTGGAAGTGAATGTGACAATCCACCAAGGCATAGAAAGTTGCTTGTTCCATATTGCAAGTTATATGAAAAAGGCAAGCACTGTCCATACTATTCTTGATAATTTTTTTTACAAAGAAATAAAACACTTTGGTTTTTATTGTGTTAAATTATAATACACTACTTTAGTATTATAATTGGTCCGCACTAGCACAGCCAAGGGTTTGGTGAGCCTGAGGGAGGATGAAGAAAAAGTCAGACAAGAGAATAAGCTGGGTCTAGGTGGACCTTCTGTGCCTGGCTGAGGCCACAGAACAGATCCAGACCGCAAAGCTGATGCTTTATTTATAGTCAGGGGAAAACAAGGTAATTTACAATGTTCTTATAAGTTTCACTTATTTTGGCAGCACTAGCTGCCCCTCCCACAGCCAAAAATCCAGGGAGCACTCAAAAGATCAAGCTTAATTATGCTTAGGGGGCTGTGCCTTCCAAGCTGGGACTTATTTGCGACTTTGCCAGCAGATCAGTCCGAGGCTTAACCCTATTACAGCTCCCTACAATAATACACTAAAGTAGTTAGTTTCACTATTTTTCCACTAGTGAATTAGACATTACTCCATTAGAAGATGGAGCAGCCCATGTAACATCCAGCTGTTAAAAGTGGGAGGGCTGTTGGCCAAGGTGGAGGCTCTCAAACAGGAGCCAGCCTGAGAGAAAGCCACATATTCGTTTTTTGTGGTGTTGTTTTTTAACCAGAGCACAGGAGTTTTCATTTGCAACTACTCATCTGAGGCTTTGGTGCAGAGCGGAAGATGAGGACTCAAGGTTCCAAAGGAGAAGATGGGGTGGGAAGCATTTGGGGGTGATGTGGAAAAGGAGCAGCCTGGAGTATTAGGTGTAGTTCCCGAAACCAAAACAGCCATTTTTTATGAAAAGAGCTAGTCACTCCCAGTAGCTGCAGGACAGGAAAAGAAAAAGAACCCCACCCTAGATGATATAATAGCCTGTCCACTCTCAGGAGTCCTGCTTGCACACCCTGTATTACCTCTTCAGAGGAAACAAAGCAGAAGCCGACCTACAGGTCTGAACCATCCCAGGAGAATCAGTGACTAGTTTGAGAGAGGGGCCATCTGCCCCTCTATCCTGGGAACCAGACTGGTACTTTCTCTGCACAGGAGAACTGATAAAAAATCTCCAGGATTGCAGCCAACTCTGCTGGTCTTCATACAAGAATCTCTGTCCAGCGAGGGCAGAGTAATATTTTAGGTCACTTATGGAGGAATAACTCTGTGACAGGGCTTCTCTTTTCTTCTCTTTTATTTTTACCTTTCTTTTCTTTTTCTTTTTAAAATGTATCTTTTTTATTTACTTGCTTTATTTATTTATTATTCTATTCTCTGTTTTTTATTCATATATCTAACTTTCATCTTCTCTTTTCCTACTCAATTTTTTTTTTCCTACTCAATTTTTTTCTTTTCTTTCTTTTTCTTTCCACCTCCTTTTTCATCTTCTTTTTCTTTTCTATTTTAGGTCTATCTACTTTCTCCTCTATTTTCCTTTTTAAAAATTTTCTTCTTGGCCGAAACCAGTTTGGCTCAGTGGATAGAGCGTTGGCCTGCGGGCTGAAAGGTCCCAGGTTCGATTCCGGTCAAGGGCATGTACCTTGGTTGTGGGCACATCCCCAGTAGGGGGTATGCAAGAGGCAGCTGATCGATGATTCTCTCTAATCGGTGTTTCTAACTCTCTATCCCTCTCTCTTCCTCTCTGTAAAAAAATCAATTAAAAATATATATTTTTTTAATTTTCTTCTTTTTTTTTCCTCCTCCTTTACTTTAAATAGTCTTCCTTCCCTTATTCCTCTAAGTCTTTTTTTCATTTTCTTTCTTTCAGCTCTGTATCAACCTATTCCTTCCCCCACCCCTTTTTTATTGTTTGTTTGTTGTTTGTTTTGTCCTCATTTTTTTCTTTCTTTTTTTTCTATCATTCTTGCTCTCTTTTCTCTTTCCTAATTCTCTCTTCTCTGGTGGTTGCTTTTGTTGGTGCTATAGGGATCTTGTGTATATTTTTATTTTATTTATTTTGTTTTATCTTTTGCTGTGCTGTATTTTGTTCTGTTCAGTCAGCACCTCCACAAAAGTTCACACAACATAGTCATGCGTGAGCCACATAGTCAGCCAGCCTGAAAGGAGACTCCATCCATGAATGGGACAAAACATTCAAGACTCAACTACAATAAGAGATCCAAAATAACTCAGTTAAGGGCTTTTCCTAGAGCACCCATCTCAGGAAATCTAAGAGACTGCACCATTGGGTCCCACAAAACACCTACTACATAAGACCACAAAATCTGGGAGACATAGCAGTTTGATCTAATACATAAAAACAAAAACAAAGGGACAGCAAAAATGGGGAGATAGATAAACAACCCGCAAATGAAAGAAAAGGAGTTGCCAAAAGTAGGCAAGCAATTTGTCAGATAAAGAATTCCGAGTAATGGTAATAAGGGTGCGCAAACAATTCAGTGAGAACTACAAGCAACCCAATGAGAATTATAAGGAACTTGAGAACTATAAAGGACTTAATGGGAGCTACCCCTATTTTAAAAGAGAGATTGAAACATTAAATAAGAATCAGTTGAAAATGAAGAGTAACATAGCTGAAATAAAGAACACTGCAGAAGGAGAGAGAGGAACCAAGATGGCGGTCTAGGTAAGTGCCTAAACTGCCGCCTCGTACAACAATTTCAAAATAACAACTAAAAGACAGAACAGACATCATCCAAAACCACAGGAAAGCTGACTGAGCAGGAAATCCACAACTAGAAAGAAGGAGAGAGGCTCACGGATTAGATTGGATCGGATCAGATGGGGAGCCACAAAGCTGAGGTAGGAAGACACTCCCGCAGAGAAAAGGGAGGGGAAAGGAAGCCCCAGACTGCATTGAACCCCAGTTCCAACTGCACTGAACCCCAGCCCCAGCTGAAACCCTGAAACCCCATGGACCCAGGCTCATACGGGTGGAGTAAGACACCCAGAGACTCAGAGACTGGGAGACTCAGGGGAGCCACAGAGCGTGAGTGAGTGTGTGCAGAGAGGCCTGACCAGACTGGGAGACCAGGGAACCCGGAGAATATTAAAAGCAGCAAGAGAAAACAGTTACCTACAAGGAAGCACCCATATAACTGTCAGCTGATTTATCAGCAGTAATTATGCACGCCAGATGGGAGTGGCAAGAAATATTCAAAGTGATGAATATCAAGAACCTACCATCAGGATTACTCTACCCAGCAAAGCTATCATTCAGAATTGAAGGGCAGATAAAGAGCTTCACAGATAAGAAAAAGCTAAAGGAGTTCATCACTGCCAAACTAGTATTATCTGAAATGCTGAAAGGTATTCTTAAAGAAGAGGAAGAAGAAGAAAAGGGTAAAGATAAAAAGTATGAACAACAAATACATATCAACAAGTGAATCTAAAAATCAAGTGAATAAAAAATCTGATAAACAGATTTATCTTGTGAATATAATAGAATCAGGGGCATATAAAGGGAGTGGACTGCAATTCTCGGGGAAAAGGGGTGTGGGGATATGAAAAAGACTGGACAAAAATCATACACCTATAGATGTACATTGAGGGGAAGGTAAGGACAGAGAGTAGAGTGGGAACAGGGTGGAGGGGAGCTATGGGGGGGAAAAAGAAGAACAATTGTAATAATCTGAACAATACAGATTTTTTTTTTTTAAATACCTACAACATATTATGCAGATTCTGAAGGAATACTCCAAAAAAATGTATATGGAACAAAAAAGATCCCAAACAGCTGCAGCAATGTTGAGAAAGAACAAAGTTGGAGGGATCACAATACCAAATATTAAGTTATACTACAAAGCCACTGTAATCAACAGTCTGGTACTGGCACATGAATTGGCATATAGATCAATGGAACAAGAACAGAGACCCAAGAAATCAACCTAAGCCACTGTGCTTAATTAATATTTGAAAAAGTAGGCAAGAACATACAATGGAGACAAAAAACTTTCTTTAATAAATGGTGTTACTCCGGAACTG